CTCTAAAACGAGTCACTCTACCTCGTCTCGAGCTATGTGCTGCTCATCTCCTTGCTCAACTAGCATCATACTGCCTCTCTATGTTTACGAATAAAGTAACATTCTCTCGTACTGTTCTATGGTGTGACTCTTCCATCACTCTAACATGGCTTCAAACACCACCATACAGACTGAAAACTTATGTGGCGAACAGAGTAGCTCAGACTCAAGAACTTTTCCCCTCACATTGCTGGCGTTACATACCCAGTCAGGATAACCCCGCAGATTGCGCCTCTCGGGGAATAACTGCCACTCATCTCCAAAATCACCCCTTGTGGTGGACCGGGCCATCTTGGCTCTCTCAACCTTGCGAAGACTGGCCTAATAGACAATTTACACCTGTAAATTTAGATAGCTCAGAAGAAACAAAAGTGGCTGAACTTTTTGTCTTCACTTCGAACACCAACCCTGAATGGGAACTTTTGACAAGATTTTCCTCGTGGACTAAACTCGTACGCATTACAGCTTACATCCTTCGCTTCATTTACAACGCGAGAAGATCGAACAAGCTGCGAACAAGTTCTCTCACTACAAATGAACTCAAGTCATCAACCACAAAAATTATCCAACTTGTTCAAAAATCATGTTTTTCTGAAGAAATCGCCAATCTCCAGAAATCAGAAAACTGCAATTCTAAGTATAAACGCTTGTCACCCTTTCTCGATGAGCACGGAATAGTTCGTGTAGGCGGCCGCATTAAGAATTCTTCGCTCCCCTATGACAGCGTTCATCCCGTATTGCTCCCCAAAAGGCACCATGTTGTAGATATTATCATAGATGACTGTCACAAAACACATCTTCATGCCGGACCTCAACTCACTCAATCTCTCTTAGCCTCAAGGTTCTGGATCCTCTGTGCGCGTAGTGTTATCCGCTCACGCATATTCAAATGTATCCCTTGTTTTAAAAATAGACCCCGAAACAAGGCGCCTCAAATGGGTAATTTACCCAAAGTTCGTGTCACTCCTGCCAGACCATTCATCTCAACTGGAATGGATTATGGTGGCCCTTTTATTGTTAAAGTCCACAACTTACGCTCAATCAGACACGTTAAGGTCTACTTGTGCATATTCGTTTGTATGGCTACTAAGGCCGTGCACATCGAAGTAGTGACAGATATGACTACAGATGCCTTCCTAGCGGCTTTAACTCGTTTTGTCTCAAGAAGAGGGTTAAGTACCAACTTGTACAGCGACTGTGGTACGAATTTTGTAGGTGCGGATAACGCCCTTAAGAAGATTATTAAGTCCGCTCAATCTTCAAACCAATTTAAGGACTTTGTCTCTACCAAAGGGATTATTTTCCACTTCAACCCCCCTTCAGCCCCTCATCAGGGTGGGTTATGGGAAAGTGCCATTAAAAGCGCTAAACACCACCTCAAACGAGTCATCGGAATGAACATCCTGACTTTGGCAGAATTTTCTACTCTGTCAACACAGGTAGAGGCCGTTCTGAACTCACGCCCTCTTACTCCGCTTTCATCCGACCCTTCGGACCTGACACCTCTCACTCCAGGACATTTTTTGATCGGCGCCCCTCTAACTGCGGTTCCTGAAGAAGATGTCCAAGACGTCTCCACCAACAGGCTGAAGCACTGGCATCTCGTCAAGGCACTCCATCAGCGAATATGGAAGCGATGGCAGCAAGAGTACCTGCACACCTTGCAACAAAGGATGAAGTGGGCCTCGCACCAAGATAACCTCAAAGTCGGTGATCTTGTGTTAGTGGAACAGCAATCTACCCCTCCTCTGACCTGGCCTTTGGCCCGCATTATTGATGTGTCTCCTGGCAAAGACAATGTGGTACGAGTGGTACACTTGAAGACAGCAACCGGCATCCTCACTCGACCCGCTGTAAAAGTGTTTCCACTACCTCTTGGTTGTGAATAGACTATCAATTGATAGCACTTCATGTATATAGCTTTAGTTATAATTATATGTCTTAGGTGTCTGAAATGTGTTCCTTTGTATTTTGTTTTGAATCTCCAAGTAGATTCAAGGGGGCCCGGATGTTCTGTATTTAATTAATTATTACTATATTTATCATCATAATTATTGTTCAATTAGTGATAGCTTATTTCCAAACCAAATCTGTATTTTTAAATCTCATTTCAATTTCATTAAGTATTGTTGTATCAAATGTTAGAGTCTCACTCACACAAGCCTACATAAAACACACACACTATCTCGGCTGTGTTGCCCGATGCAGGACGAATCCTATTGGTTAAAAAATGTGGCGTGATATGGACATGGATAAATTTGCGGTACCCCTCTAAGAAACATTGAGGTAGCGTCCCTTCCCCCTCCAAAAATAATGTTCAGTTGAAATGTAACTCTCCTCGGCTGAATACGTGCATTGCGCCGTATTTCGTTAGTCTTTCTCTATTTATAAACTTTTACCTCTAAAACCGCTTCTCGGACTCTCTAACGCTCTTCTATCGTTTGTCACGAACAGTTAATAAAACTTTCTCGACGTCAAACTCTGTAAAAGGTGTTTTTTTCTTAAATAAGTTATTTAGTATGTTATCGCTGCCGCCGCTAAGCAGTTACGTCCGCCGCGTCTTCGTCGCGAGTGCCTGTGTCAAGTGCCAACTTTAGTGGATTAGGATTACTGGATTCCCCACAAGTGTTCCCCAAAAGTGTGCACACTTCCCTCATCTCTACTCAACCTACAAGTTGGCTACCCTCTTCCCAAGACGTCGTCGTCTGCCATCCACTCACGGCTTCCGCCCATGTGCCACCTCTACTCTCTAGTGTTTCTTGTTACTCTTCACCCTTGGATTATTGGTGAGTCATATATTACCCTCTTTACGCCCCAAGTAATGTTATTGTTATTATTTAATAAAGTTGGTTAATTTCATTAACATTTTGCCATAAATTGTAAATAATTCAAGTCAAGTTAAGCAATATATAAAGAGTTAGGCCTATCTCAAATTATTTGTGTGAAAAATACATATTGAATTAAGTGAAAACTAGTTTTTAGTAAATTTTGATAAAATATACAGCGGAATAAGCTATTACCGTAGGTCTCATAGTAAGACTAAGACTGATTTCCTTTTTCCTTTTGTTTTGATGTAAGCAGAGGCCAATAACATCACCAGTTATTTGTGTGTGTGTCTGTTAGCACAATAACTCTGTGAAAAATATTTCAGTAGGCTATGTGGAAAAAATAAATTAACATGACGTTGTTTTTGGTAAATGGGTAATAGTTTCATCTCACTGAAATTAGTCATACCTCAAATTTTCTAGATAATCTAGCTTACGAGATAGCCCATAATCTTTTACCGCTCAATTTGGTTGTTCAAAAGAGGCTTCACCCCCAGGGAATCAAAAATAAGACTGGACAAATTGTAATATAAAAATAATATAGGTAAAATAAAAACAGGGGATAAAAGTTAAGTTTGGAGAGAATACTTCCAGAATCTTTTAATTGAAAACTTACCAAAGTGTACAACCTTAGTTTATTTAGTTAAGAGTTTGAAAACAATAATTAGACTGCATATGGATCAGTGTTGGGCATTAGGCAAAATTACAGCTAAACGACTGGTGAATTTTGAAAAAAAAACCCTCCAAAGAAAAAATATGGCCCAATCCATGAAGACGGAATTTCGAAATAAGACAACTGGACAAAGATCTGGCAATAACAACTGAAGTAAGGAGTAGACGGATTAGGTGGGCAGGTCATATACTTAGACGAGATGTGGACGTTGCTATCAGTAATTTCTTAAGGTACAATCCAGAAGGCAGAAGGCCTCCAGGCAGGCCGAAACTCATATGGAAGGGCCAAATACACCAGTATCTAAGGAGACTAGGATAAATTAAGAACATGCCGGGAAAAGGCTGGAGGCAGTGTGTAGGCTAAGTACCATTTGGGGTACCATTGGCCAAAGTTCTAGTAATTTAGTATATCTATACAGAGAAAATTTCAAGAAACTGTAAATTTAAAATTCTTATGTTTAAGGATAAAAAGTAAAATGTTGTAATTTGATTGTTTATGGATAACCAACCGCCATTGATCAAATTTGGCAAATTTATTATTTCATATCAAGCTATTTACATTTCAGTTACAAAACACTCTTTATCACCTTCCCTGCTACAGCAAACCTTAGTACTTTTAAACTTAAATGCATTTAAACAAGGAGAAAATCTGCCAATTTTAAGTAAAAATTCTTGTGAAACAACAACCAGGCTTGCTGCGGCAGGAGTATTATTAAAAATACTCCAGGCATTAAAAACATTAAAGTAATTCAATTTATTCAAGTTTAACTGATACTGCAGGTGAGTCTGAGGCTTCGTGATTTTCCATGAGTATAACGACATTCAAAACTCAAGTTTCGCATACAATTTTTTATCCAAATTATTATTATTTAAATGGTAACTAAGGTAAAGAATATATATTATCCTTAACACGTTCAGTGCGGCAGGCATTCCAACAGGCGCTCGCCAATGGCGGGCCCCGGCGCGGCAACGTAACAGCGAACACAATTGGCATTCAAATATTTCCATCTGACGAATAACAAAAAGAGCAGCGGTGATTGTACTACCTTACCCCGAGATTGGACGTAGTTCCCTAAAACACCCAAAGGTAGCAGCACTGCCTGGATCAGTAGTCAGTGGCCTTGTAATATGGCTTGAAGAGAGAAAATCCTCGAAACCGGGACAAAAGCATTGTCAGACGAGATTTTACGGGAAATTTTAGTACCAACCTACACCAAAATAAAGCTTACATTCTAAGCTACAAGCTAGCAACGGTTTTATCGTTCCCCGACAATGGCTGAGCTTATACTGAACTATTTTAGTGGGGATTGCGCAACTACATCAATTGATGTAGGCCGGTTGGGGCGCCCGTTGCGCGACTACATCAATTGATGTAGTCAGCACTGTACGTGTTAAAAGATGGTTTAAAGTGAACTAAGCATCTACAGGAATTATAATAATTGAAGGGCAAATGTCTGTACTTACATAATTTACAAAGCAGATATTTTCATTTCCAAGAATCAGTGTTGCAATACTGAAAAAGTAATTTGATGAACAAATTGACTCGGAGCAATTAGAAAAAAGTACACACTTTGATTAGTCAGTTATAAAACAGTAATTATACTGTTATTTGTTTAATTTATATACACAATTACCAACATATATGTTTACAAATTCAAGATGGAAGACTACTGAAACCAAAACAATAAAAAATTTTCTATAACTCCATTTAAATAACTGAGGTTGACAACATAGAACTTACTTTGTACAACCTGTACTTGGAATAAAATACATTGTACAGTATTGAAAATAGATAAAACTGAAATTTAACTCACTCATCCGCAAACTAAATTAATTTAATTTAATATAAATTTTTATTTTCAAACTCTGTACTTGGAATAAAATACATTGTATATTATTGAAAATACAGTACATCAAACTGATATTTAACTTACTCATCTGCAAACTCTACTCCTTCAAGCTGTTTTTCTGCTATTCTGTTTGATCGCCTCCTTTTGACTGATACGGGTGGCGATATGTTTTCTTTTGTCTTGATCCTCATGGACTTTTTAGGCATTGGCTGTCTACTACTCCTTGTCCTAGTGTGACTGACTGGGGTTGTATTTTGATCCTGGGCTTTAAAGATTCCTAATTTGATCATCTAAAAATAAATACAGACACTGATAATTGAGGCCTATATGAAATTTTTCATATAGTAGAAACAGGTCCGAGCTATTAAGGAATATAGGTGGTTTTGGTAGAGGTTTGTAAACATAATAGTTGGTATACATACTTTAGGCTATAGACTATATAAGTATGAAGGGGTAACAAAAAAACGTTGATTCTTAAAAACACATGGTATATATAAAGGGTGTTGAAAAAGTCTTAACACACCCAAAAATAAAAGAAATGGCTTAGATAAAATTTTGCAAATTCAACCGATCATTGTATGATGACTTTTATAGCGTTTTGCAACTCAAAATTTTCAAATGTAAAGACCCATTTTGTGACCCCTCATTTTAAAATTCTTGTAAAAAAAAAACAATTGATGTGATTTAAAACTTTTTACGACCATCCTGTAGGCCTACATAATGGCGGCCTAAATGCTTTAAAACGGATTTGAAATAAAAATCTAACAACGTCCATTGCAGATACACAATTTAATCATGTTTTGTTTTAGGTTGTACAGAAGTTGATGTGAATGTGAGTTTTTCTCAACATTTATCTGAACTCTTATTGCCATTATTAGGAATAAAAATGCAAGGTAAAATTACAGTCTATTGTTTGTTTATTGTAGCCCAATTTATGTAGGTAAACATTGTTTTTAACACTAAAAAAGACTCATAAATACTATAACGTAAACTCTAAAGACTAATTTTCAAAGTATGATTATTTTCTACGTCTGTTCAAAGAGATTCAAAAATAACTTTTCTAACAACAATGCATTGTGTTAAAAGTAAGTTACTGTAAATATTTTTGGTAAATCAGCTGTTCTTAATTGTTTTTATTTGATTTTTAAATTAATGTTTGTTTTTTAGTTGAGATTCCAACGAGTTGTTAAATTTGTCTCTAGTTGCCAAATTTTATTCACTATTATTTGTAATCCAGTGTACCACATTCGTTTTTAACATTGCATTAAGTGTTTTAGGCTGCCATTATGTACAGGATAGTTGTAAAAAAATTTAAATCACACCAAACGTCTTCTTTTAACAATACCATTAAAATGAGGGGCCACAACATGGGCCTTCACATTTGAAAATTTTGAGCTTCCCCCTATCTACCCTAAAACGGGGAGGGGGCCAATTTGTTATTTCTTGCAAAAAGCTAGAAAAGTCATAATGCAAGGATATGTTGAAGTTGCAAAATTTTATATTAAGCCGTTTAGTTTATTTTTGGGTGTGTTAAGACTTTTTCAACACCCTGTATTTACAAATTATTCACACTTCAACCTTATCACCTTCAAAGGTGTCAAACTGTTGTCCTTTCATACCTCTTTTCGTGTTTGGAAACATAAAACAAGTCACACGGAATAAGGTCAGGTGAATAAGGTGCGTGGGGTAGCACAACCATTTAATTTTTAACCAACAACGAGCGAACATCGATATCTGTGTGCGCAGGTTTGAAAGAACCAGTCTCCTGTGTGCCACAGATTGGGTCTTTTTTGTCAAACGCTGTTGTGCAATCTTCGTAAAACTTCTAAATAGAAGGTTCTCATCCTGGGGAAACAAACTCTGAGTGAACAATGCCTAGCGTAATAAAAAACAAATACAAATCAGTAGGCTGAGACTGTAACAGCCTATTTTTTGTGTATTGATTCTGTTTAATTTGAATGCAATACAATACAATCATAAGGTATGTCAGCAAACAGTTTAAGTAACAATTTATTTACCAAGAAATAATAAATATTTCAGCAAAAATATGAAATGAAATTAGATTAAATAAAGAACCAATATGAACCAATGTAACATTATATTGCATCTAGCTCTAATTAAGATTATTTTTAAACTTACCATCATTGTATTTTCTTGGATATTTTTCAATCTTAAGAGTTCATATTCTGACAGACTATCTCGATCGGCAGCCATTTTTTTCTTAGCGTCTCTTTGAACTTTTTTTTAATGGAAGGAAGTCCTGAAATAAAAGGTTAAAATATTAAACTTATTAATATTGTTAAAATAAAAATAATATTTACCACTCTTTCTGTTGTTGATCAGTTCATGGTAGGAAAGTTTGATGTTGTAAAATAAGCACGTATGTTAATTTATGCAATGCCTTTTTGCTATAGGAATCCAATCAGTTTCATGTTTCTTGATTATTAAACATCACAATTATAGAGGGGTCTCATGAGCAAGAATTTGTGAAATACATTTTCATCAAATAGTTTACTGGGTGTGCATTAATACTAAACAGTTAAAAAATAAACACTCTACAAGTACTGTACATGAACAGTCTTATGCCAAATGTGTATTTATCAATTGCCTGGAGTAAATCAATTAACGTACAGTAGTCAGGCAAAATTATAAACATAAATAAGATAGAATTGATTATTTAATTTCATAGAACTAAAGAATGAATTTGTATAGAACAGGTAAAGAAATCCATTATATTATTAAAGTGATACATTCCAATTTGTACAAACGCTTAAGGCCTTTTATCAAATAAAAATATAGGTATATGGCACATCAAAATTAAGCTTAGAGTGTGTATATTTGCCGAAAAGTATTGGTATGAACGAATTCTCTTATGGCTCAACCCCCCAGGCCAATTTCCAAAGGGAGTGCCTGACATGCTTCTAAAGTTTAAATGATTTAATTCAATTCATTAAACAGCTGGTCAATGCAATTAGCTGGTGTTTGTTTATTTACTCGAAAAAGATGTCTGTGACGATTTATTTAGATTGAGGAAATATGTGGGTAAGAGGGTTAATTTTGGTAGTACAAGTTTTTTAGAGTTTTGCTCACAGTTTCATTTGCAATTTATGTAGTAAGCTAGGCCTACATGTAAAGAGGCTTGACTAAAATTGAAAAATAATTCTAAAACATCTCATTCATGAAGCATCAATAATATCAAGTAATTTATGTTATTGTTACACTAAGGTATGTAGTCATATTATTTTGGATCTATTGATATAAATAGTAGAGGTTTGAAAGTAAGTAGGTTTACACTTTACTGTAAATCAATTTATCTTTTCAAATTAAATCATAGAGTTCCAGCATTTTTAAACACCACTTATACACTGTAATGGCTGCCTAGGAAGTTTAAACCTCTTATCTAAATATGAAGAAAATAATTTTACTTCACTATGTGGTAAGATTGAGTTTTTATTCTTAAATGAATAATAGATGTGTAACTATTTTATACAGCAGAAGATTATAGGTTAAATTATTAACCTAGTATCACTTTTTTGTTAATAATGAAAATGTAGCCTTAGAACTTGAATGGGTGAGGTTCATAACACCAAGTTTAAATAAAACTAAATACTTTAAAATATGAAATTTCATAACCCCAAGCGTAAAAATTAACAAGTAAAGTGTACCGAGTAAAATTAATACCGAGAGATCATAAGTCCAAGTTTCATAACCCAAGCAAAGTCAGGGCATCATGGCCCTTTCTTACACTTAATAGAATTAGATATAAAACATTATTTACAAAAAAACAATATTTAAATAACAAAAATTATCTTACAAAATGACACACACACTCGGTCAGTAGTTAAACGCAAGCGCTAAATCAGTCCTGGGACGTACCAGCTTTAGGCCATACGCTCGAAGTACAATTTTTTTAATGTGTCCGCCACTACAAACCGGGTACGACTATCATGTATTATTATGGATGGAGGTAGATAGTTCCAAAAACAGCACGCAGTTACAACAAATGACCTGTCATATACTATACTGTACTCTGATGAAGTAGCCTATGTGGTCTGATGACGCAAAGTGAAAGATTAAGTATGTGAACTCCTCAAAGTACCTTCATCTACTAAGCTAAAGTCAATTTCAAAAGTTTGGCAATCAATTAGGCTATGTAAAATTGAAAATGCTTAAGGGTATTTTTACTAACCTCTGATCATTCAACTTGAATATTTTTGATTTAATGAAGAAAGGTGTGATTTGCTTAAAGCATCTTAAATCTTTTACTGATTATGATTTTTTAATCTATTATTTTTATTTAGAAGTTTGTTAATATTTTGCATAGGTTACATACTGTTCATGCTTGATTAGGCCTGCTTTCATGTAATGTATTTTTTCCACATTGTGTGGTTCTTTTTAAGTTCTCAAAAAATTTCTCTGGTTTCTACTTCGCTTGTTGCAGTAATTTGCATTTGCCGACCCTGGTTTTTGATGCTTTGTTTTTTTTAATTGTAAATTGCATATTGCATGACAAGTAGACTACTAAGTTATTGCACTGTACCGGTATATGTTTCATGATCAATAAAGAATCATAATCTGAAACAGCAAGTTTGGTGACACCACAAAGACACAGCAAATCTGCTGCTTAGCTCTCGATAGTAAGCTAGAAGAGAAAAAAAATCAAATACTGGACAGCCCTAATTTCACGCAGTAAACAAAGGCTTGGTCCCAATTTTTGTTACCTACAGCAGCAATTTTACCCAAGTTGTTACTTCTTTATCTTTAAAAAACGGACTGTACCCATTATTTATCGTGAGAATATAATAATAGGCAAATTAAGGTCGTTCTTAGTAAAGTAGAAAATCAGTTAGGCCTCCATTACAGAAAATACTATACAGAAAATCATAGCTGTGTATCTGAGTGACTATAGTGTTCGCCTGGTAATCAAAAGATCGTCGGCTCAATCTTGAGAAATGTTAGAAGATTTTAAATGGTTCCAAACTGGATCAAGCTGTCCTTAATTATTGGCTTTTTAGTAAATGGTAACTTACTGACTAATGAGACAGCCGGTCTTGGTCAGCATCAAAGCTACACAAGGCAACTCACTCCATTCTACACTCATCCCTCGCTCATACTGTATTTGGATTTAAACATGCACCTAAGTAGCGTCTCCATCTCAATTGATAGAGTAAGTTGTTAACTCTTCTTATATGTACCGGTAGGTTAAATCGACTTGTGTTTTGACAAAAGAAAAGGATAACTTGGAGAATGTAGAAATTGAAAAGGCTATAGTTTTCCCCCATAAACTTAACTTGGAATAGAAAATTTTTCTTCTTAATACAACAGCATTTCAAGATATTTTTAAGTACAGTAACTTACAAACTGGAATGGAAATAGATTAACTTAGGCCTACCTATCCCTTCCTGCTCTGCAGGTTGCATGTTTGACACAATTTATCCAGTTCTTAAGGTCGATTCACACAAATCAATTTTGGCACAGTTTAGTCTCAGTCAGTCTTCCGTCACTTTATTTACATGATGTTACAGTCAAAAACGTTTAATTTAGGCCTAAACACAATATTCTATCAAATTCTCATCGTCCCTCTTATTGATTGTTACAAACAGTACTTAAAATATAAACACGATCATTTGAATAAAAAAGCACCTATTAAGTTATCTAACCTCAAACACGTCCGTCAGGCATCCGAACAATCCAAAAATATTGGTAAGAAGCTTTAGAAAATAGAACGCAATAGAAATTCCATAAACTAAAGGTCGATTCACACACATCAGTCACGGCACGTTGCAGTCCAGTCACTTCAGGCACTTTCCAGAGTTAACAAAAATATTCTTTAGGCCTAATGGGTTTTATATAGCGCTATCTACACTCACCTGTTGCAGTTCCGTCAGTAGCTCTGCAGTTCAGATTTCTTTTCAACGATATTTTTGGATTGTTCGGACGCCTGAGGGACGTGTTTGAGGTTGGAAAATAGTACTTTTTTTAATTAAAATGATCAAATTTATAGACATAGACATAGACATGTTTTATTTATGAATTGGGTACAAATTATACAATGTAAATCTCAATCGTCAAATACATTATATGGTCTAGTAGCATTTAAATCAAAACGAAAAATAATTAGTTAAATCTATTTTATTCTAAAGATTTAAACAAATAAGTCAAATAAAAATGCCATGTTGAATGAGATCAAGCAGACAGGAATTCTTCGGTACTGTAAAACTCACCTTCCACCAAATAATTTTTCAGTAGTTTCCTAAAACCATTAGAACCCAACCTTGAACTGCACTGCTTTACTTCTTCAGGAAGCCTATTAAAGAAAAAAGGGCCCGAAAAATTTGCATTCCTTTCAGAAAGGGTCAGACGATGACATGGAGTACGAAGATCTCCTCCATGCCTAGTGGGGTATCTATGACATTGACCAACCGATGGAATATCCTTCAGATGATTTACTGCAGACATTATTGCTCTGTAGATGAATATAGAAGGCAAAGTTAAAATGTTGTTCTCCCGGAAGACTCCTCTGTATGAATGGAGTGGTGGTAAGCAATTGAGGATACGCACTGCCCTTTTTTGTACGGTAAAGACCTTACCACCATGGGAAGAACCACCCCAGACTTCAATACCATAAGTCATGACTGAGAAAAAACAACCATAGTAGACTGCTACTAACATTTCCCAGTCAAGAAGAGGTTGCAACGTCCTAAGTGCATGGCAGATGCGGTTCAACTTGCAACAAAGCTGTGATACATGATTGGACCATGACAACATTTTATCCACAGTTAGACCTAAAAATTTCACAACAGAGCACTCTTCTATCTCGAACTTATTCAACGAGACGGATTCAGGGATCTTATTGAGAGTTAGGAATTGCATGAAAACGGACTTATCGGAGTTTAGTCTAAGATTGTTCAGCGATAACCAACTTAAAAGTGAACTAACTGACTCTTCAACTCGAGATTGCAAATTGGAACATGGACCTCCAAACAGTAAGGGTGTGTCATCCGCATAGAAGATTGATTTAGCTGAATGAAGATGTGCTGATAGATCATTAATATACACGATAAAAAGCAATGGTCCGAGAATACTACCCTGAGGAACCCCGAACTTGCATTCAGCGAGATGCGACCGAAATCCTGAAATCTCAACAAATTGCATTCTATTTGAAAGATACGATCGGAACCAAGCTAGTGGAACTCCTCGAACACCATATTTTTCCAGTTTCTCACAAAGAATATTGTGATTAACTGTATAGAAAGCTTT